TAGGGAAAGTACCATATCTACTTCCTTGGGTTGTTTGAGCAGTAAATCAGTGGTACATGTGAAAGACATAGGCTGCAACATACACAAAATAAATACTCAATAAATGTTAGCATTTCTTTTTATTAGATGATATTGCTTGCCTATGTCCATCCAAAGATCAGGCTAGAGGGATCTGTTTTGATGTGTTGCATGGATGTGGTGGGTCAGGCAACATGTTAGAGGAGACAGCGAGGCCTCTAAATCGTATCCTACTTACTGTAAAGATGCCCAGAGCAGCCTATGTGAACTTGCTTGATCAAGTGATTGCTGTTCTTGGGGACTTGCAGCCTCAGAGGATCATCTTTACCCAAGGTACCAAACCTTCTGTTGCCTTATTCTTCTTAGCCTGTGTTTTCAGTATTTTAGGGACAATATGTGTAAAAAATTATGTCAGATTTGCATCATTATATTGTATTTTAACCAGCTACGAGAAGCTAAAATCTTTTATTTGCTTTACTTTTCACGTCATATATTGAATTACATCTAGTACTTTTTAATATGTGAAAGGGCTAATAATTGTAATCCTGGACATGACACTAGAATAGGAAAGAAAAGGTGCAAACAGGGAAAGTGAGAAACCAAGTGCTGGCACCTCACATTTAAGAAATTCTAAATATTTTCTTATTGGTTCTCAACCCAGTCTTCACATTAGATACTTTTGTGTAGCTTTGGAAAACACAGATGTGTGGGTATTCCCAAGACCTAAATTGGAACCTTGACGGTGGGGCGGAGTGTGGTGGGAGGGTGAGGCTTGGAAATCTGTAGGTGGGGACCTCCTCAGGGCTTCCACGTGCAGGGCAGAGGTTCACTATGGAAGAAGGTTTTAAGGGCTGTGCAAAGCTTGCTTAGGAGTCAGGCCCCACAGTGCTGTCAATTGATGAGACTTAGGGAGTTTGTTCCACCAAAACCATGTAAGTTCTGTAGAGAAGGGATCTTTTCTTCCTTTTCTTTCATGCTTCCTCACAGTGCCTACTCTGCTGAGTAAGCTCATGTGGTTATTTGATGTTGAATGATTTCTGTTAACCCTCGTCTGAGTACAGAAGATCTTTAAAGGGGATTTACAGTGACTGGGGCAGTCCAGTGTAACTCGTGGGCCACCCTTCCCCCTCTCCCTGTGCCCATCCCATGCTCTTGCTGTGGTGTTCACTGTAGATCAGGAGGATATAGTGGGCCAGATCAGGAGTTGGCCAAAGCCTGTCACATGCCATGAATCCTGAGGGCAGATATAGTCCATCCAGGGTCCAGTATGTGATGTTCAATCAGAGGACACAGTCCAGGCTTGGATGGGATCACTTACTGCCCAGGGTCTTAAGGTAGCCAGAAGCCATGTAGGAACAGTCAGTGATTGAAGTTAGAACTTACATGTAACAAAATTGATCATGAATTAAGCAGTTTCTTAGGAGTTAGACCTGTGCTTTGTCCTCAGATTAGGATCTTAGGACACAGAAGTTCTCTTACCTTCACTCAGGATTGAAGCTGATATTGTGTGTGTTAGAGGTGAAAGTTGTTCTGATTTCCAGAATAAGGCAAGTTTTGGCTGATGACAACAAAGTGTTAGATTCTCTGTCTAGCTTCTGTATTTTCCCTCTCATCTCAACCGGTCAGTATGTTAACATTATTTCTTAGTTTCTTCTTTAAGATCATTTAAGGTTCATCAACTAGTGTAAGAACACCTGCAGAAGAAAGAATTTCTCCCCCAGATTTTCTCTTGTGATCTGGTGTTAACTGGAAAACCATAAAGGGGGCAAAAGTGGGATTTCTGTTCCTGAAATAAATCCTTATGGCAGTATTGGGTGCTGTGTAGTAATTAGCTATGGGTCATATAACTCTTCTCTTTCAACTTTATAGAAATCATGCAAAAGGGGTACTAGAGAGCACTGAGAGGACGGTCTTGGGACATGTATAGACAGGAATGAGTTCTCTTTGGAGAGACTGCCTGTTGAGTGGAGATGAGCAGTGAGCGGGGGATGCAGTCTTTGATGACTCTTTGGCTTATAATATGACTTAAAATATGACTTTCCTAGGCTTTTGAACTCTAATGTTTGTCAACTCTGGAAGTGACAGTGAGTGTTAATACACAAGAAAGCAGACACATCTGACATGTTGGAGTGCCTTTCTCTTTACTCATAACTTAACAGTCAAGCTAGTCACATTTTTAAGGTTCTCTGTGTGTGAAGCACCATAGTAAAACCCTAAGGAGTTTGTGACATGGTTTCTTAAAATCTTGCCATATAGTTGGGATATGAGATGTGCCCATAAAGCACAGTAACAGTGTGAGGTAGAATTTTAACAGTCAGTGGAATGTACAGGTAATGAGTTTTCTAGGTGTTCCATGCTGAGAGGAGACCTCATCTGACCCTGGATGAGAAGAATGAAGCTTACCAATTATTATGTCTGGTTTGTCCTGATGACCTAAGAAGATGCTTGTGTTCAAGACAGTATTGCTCTAACTCGACATTTACATTCTAAGATGAAGTAAGCATGGTTTATAATTAAAAATAGGTTTCAATAGGATCAAAAGGCAGATGGTTCCTGCCAGCCTTCCAAAAAGGAGCATCAGATTGAGCTCAGTTTTGTTTTGACATTGTGCTCTTGACTATTAATGTCCATTTTCATGGTGTAAATATTACAATAATGGTGTTCAGTTCAGCCAGATGAGATGGAACTCTTCAGTTTTTGACACTGAAATGCTGAAAATAACACTTAAAGTAGTTTGTATATCCTAAATGGAAAACTATCAAAATATATTAAAGTATCATTTTACTTTTAATTTATAATTTCCATCTTAATATCTAAATTGTAGAAGATATACCAATAACACATAGCCACACACATGCACACTATCATTTTGATAATGCAAATCAGATATGTATTCTACCAAGAAAATGTGCGTATATATTTTTAAGGAGAGTACCCTTATTTTGTTTGCACACAGGTTTTTACATATATACAGGTTCGTTTTAAATTTATTTTTGTACAAGAGAAAGTAAAATGTTTTATATTTTATAATATATTTTACCATCTGGGATAATGAATATACAAGGCTATAAACACCTTCTGTTGACAGAAAATTTTAAAACATTCTTCTTCATTACCAGTGAAATGTGCCTATTGTAATTTGATTTAAACTTTAAAATATTTTTTCTTTTGTTTTGAGGCTGATGTTAAAATATTTTCTCCCTTATCTCTTCCTGCCTGCCATCTAACCTCTCATGTAATTTCCTAAAGCATCCTTTTTACCCTGTTGCCCATGACATCAAGTCTAAACATGTCAGCCTGGAATCAAAAGCCCCAGTCTAGCTTCCCCCCCCACAGATGTGCATTAGCACGGAGCTTCTTCCATGTCTGTCACGGTGGTCCACACACTGGCTCCTTCTGATTATTGCCTCCACTTGACATTTCAGAATTTTAACCCATGTTTGAAAGCCTCTTTGTCTCTTCTTGCTCTCTAAACCTCATGGGTTCATGTCCCCTTTTCATGCAACTGTCACAGCCCGTCCACTCTGACCCATCAGCATGGACTTACCAGGTAGCTGCCATCTGTCCAACTTTTATGGCAGGAGTGAGGATCAGGAGATAGCATAGGAGTTCCACGAAGACCACATGCCTGTTCCTAATGCTACTTGTCTATGAGCAGACCCAGATCTCCACCTGTACCAGTCCCAGACCTCTGGAAGCAGATCACATCTATAGCATTGTCAGGTGTCTGACCAAGGGAGCACTGCCTAAACCATCTGTACTGGTGAAAACGCGTCCCTCCAAGCCGCACGTCCCTGTTGTCCTTGGTTACCGGCCCAGAAAGCTCTCTTTTTATCCCCAGACAGATGTTCCTCTTTTGCCGGCCAGTATTGGATTGCAGTGTGGATATGCTAACCAAGTGCTTCGGCCTTTGCAAAGCAGGGACACTTCCACATTTAAAAAAAAAATTTGGTATTTCAGAACAAAATAAAAGCCATCATAAGTAAAGTTAAAACTCTCTTGGACTTCTTTACCTTTTGTAGTTTAGTAATATAGTTTTAATTTGAATTCTGTATAGCTAAGGCGTTGTAATAATTTCCTTTAGCTGCTGTAACAAATTACCACAAACTTAGTGACTTAAAGCACACAAATTTATTATCAAAGTTCAGAAAGTCAGAAGTCTAAAATGGTCATCAGGGCTATGTTCCTTCTGCAGGCTCTAGGGGAGAATCTGTTTCTTTGCCTTTTCTAGCTTCTAGAGGCCACCAGCATTGGTACCCGGTTTGTGGGCCCACATCATTCCAACCTGTTTTCCATCACAATGATCCTTCTGCCACCCTCTTATAAGGACCCTTGTTGATGACATTGGGCCGACCTAGGTATTTCAGGATAATCTCCCCTTCTCAAGATTCTTCGCTCAATCACATCTGCAAGATCCCTTTTGCCATGTAAAATACCATATTCACAGGTTTTGAACACTATTGTGCCGACCACAGTACCATCCCCTTTCCATTGGTGATTCTGGTCTGTCACTGCCCCTGGTGTGAGTGAGTTCTCATGGGTCGTCTTCCGTTATTCTTCTGTGACCTCTGCAACCCATCACTTTCGCCTGTGTAAACAAGTGACACACTGTCTTTAACAACTCAGCACACTGGTTGCTCTTCTCTCCAGCCAGAATGCACACCTGCCTCCTGCCGTGGCTTCTGTATCCCAAAAGCACACTGTCCCCTCTACCAGACCCA